CACTGGTCGGATATCATAGTGGTATTCATCTACTCGAAGATGTTTGTATTGAGATAACAATAGAAAGAGTAGGTATTATTTCCAATTTCCTCTCCATATAGTATGAATAGTTAGAAAGGATGGCGGATAGGCGCGTTTAACCAACCATGAATATCATATTTTTAGCATCACGGAGCGTCTGCTTTAACACAAAACAACATGTAGGCCTACCCACGATGCAAAGTATATAAAGAAAACATTAAAAAACACATTATTTGACGGAAATATAATGGGTATTGCAGTAAGATAGCAGACATACACGGGGGTGTAGCATGGGTCTATCCAGCCCCCCCCCCCCCCCCCGGGGCGGGGGGGGGGTGGGGATCTATAGGCTCACTTCGGATAAAATGCGAGGATCCCGGAGAAAGGCGGGTACGGAGAGGGACACAATCATGCGGTGTGACTTATCACATTATTCAGCATACCTCGTGAAGTCTTTATACTGCAGTCTGTATTTTTCTGTTTTAAAGTCAATTGAACCATAAAACTACACAACTGACAGGACATCGATTGCCTAAGAGGCTGACTATCTATGCGATGAGCCCATACAAAATGCGCGATCCCACAGCGCTGGAACGCTGTACCCCTGACCCGTTAACAAGGGGCGTGCCCCGGTGGGTGTCAGAGCGTGTGCCACCGTCCCCTTCTGGCACGCGACCAACAAAATCGCGCGCGCCAAAATTAGTACTATTTTGGTACCGTCTGCAGACAGATCCAGGCACCCGAAAGGGCCGGTTAACTGAAGATCGTCAATGGAAAAATTGATCAAGCGTCAAAATTAATGTCACAGCCGTACAATTTTAACCTATACATCAGAAAACAGATGAATTTAAAACATAAGGCTACGCGCGTATACCCCCTATTCTGGGTCTAGCTTTCTTTTTTAAGCTCGGCATGAGTCCCAATATAAAGTTCAGAATGATCCAAGGTGATTTCAATATAAACTAGAAAGAGTTAACGAAAATGTGGGGGGGGGGGGGGGGGGTTGGGGTTGAATGATTGGCGCCATAATCATCATGTCATACTCATGAATCGCGTGTCTTATCGGTCTTATCACATTCATATAGATTTTGTTGATCTCTTCTTTTTTTTTTTACTGCATGCGCAAGACTTTTTTTCTCGTACCGCAAGCCAATTTGCTTTCCTGTTATGTCTTCTTTGACAGCATCTTTTTTTCTCTCTCTCTCTTTGAGACAAAAATTAAGTGAAAACTTAGTATTATATTAGTACCTGGTATTATATACGCAACAGGCCGAACGCACACACGGAGTTCTTAATACCGACCTGCAGTTCAGTTAGCATGGTGCCCTGAGTCAAAGTCCAACAAGTCTATAGTGTTTGTTATCTTGATAACCCCCATCATCTTCCCAGGGGTGGACAGGTGTCTTGCCATTTTCATTCTCTATCGCTATTTATGGTATTTAGTTTTCTCCCTATTTTTCCGCCTTCACCCTCACCAGGTGCTGCCAAAAAAGTTTCCCGCCAATAAAAACGCGACGTAGGGATTAGACTCACTTTTACACTGAAATATAACCCCTTTTTACCCACCCCCTCTCTCTCTCTCTCTCTCTCTCTCTCTCTCTCTAGCTCCTATCTCTTCCTCCCCACCTCTTCTCTCTCTATCTCTCCCCACCCCACCCCTCTCTCTCTCTCTCTCTCTCTCTCTCTTTCTCGTCGCATTTCTCTTCCTCCCTCTTTCCACTCAGTTTCCTTTATATCAGTTTTCTAGCCCCCTCTCTCTCTTTTTCTCTCTCTTTCTCCCTCTATCGGTGTATCTCTCTCTCTCTCTCTCTCTCTCTCTCTCTCTCTCTCCCAACACCCACTCTCCTTTTTTTAGCATCACGAAGGATGCATATTGTGCACACATGCATCTCAAATGGGACCTGCGCCGGAGAGCCCTTTGTTGTGGCAAGCAGGGGTCGCAGAGAAATTGACCCCACAATGAGGTACATAATCGTTATCTCGTTTAGCATGCTAAAATCATTTGATGATAGTATTATGTTAGGCACGTGTCTGTGTCTGTTGCTTACAGTAAGACCAGACCTCATAACATATTGAATAAATTTATGTAAAGGAGATATTTTCCCTCTTCAATATCCCCTTCTTTTCATCTTTAAGACTGTGTGTTTCGTGGTGCAAATAAAGTTGATTCGCCTATACGTGCATATCCAGGGGCGCCGATCCGGGGGGGGGGGGGGAGCTCAAAAAAGTATACCAAATATTGACTAAAGACTGCAACACACTTTTAGGCTCTCGCATTAATTCGTCCCCCGCCCCCGCCGGTCATGAAAAGAAATTGCCGCCCCTGTGAATATGCCTCCAGATGATAAATCAAATTGATATTTGGAGTAAATGTAATAAATATAAAGACTGCTCAAAAATTGTATTTGAAGACCAAAATAACTGTCAACAAAATACATAATTGTCTTGTAAAATATAGCAAGTGGCGTGTGGTGTCAACATAGATTTTCTAACTTTGGGTCCGAAGGAAAAAAAAAACCCGACTAATAAAATGTTTTCTCACGATCGCCCGCATTCTTCTATGAATCACCTATCTGCGCAGTTTTTTTTCTTTTTTTTTCCGTTTTTTTGTTGAAGACATTTTTTTAAATTATTTTCTCTCAAATCAAATACATATTGTACAACTGATAATATTATATAAGTATATGTATATGTGTAAGTATATGTTTAATAGTGTAAAATAATATCTGCTCCAAATGATACAATCTGACTTACAAGTAAAAAGCAAAAACAACAACTACAACAACACAGAAGTGATGATTTCTTATATTGCTATAAATGCAACCTACTTGCTCTTCATGCTGCAAAATAACGATTATAATATCGGAGATTATTAAGTAGTCTTATATAAATTATAACCCTCGTAATGACAATTGTAATTTGGAGTTGATGTTTCATAAAGTTTGCATTATTTTGATAGAACGATAGGCTTTTACTTATTATACAGAAGCATTTCATATCTTCTTACCTTCAAACTCGTGCATGTAAGACCCCAAATTATCTTACTAAAAATAACCTTTCTCAAAATCTACATTTCTTATTTTGTATTAAACTGCGTAGACTAACATAGTGAAGAATGCAATATAATATACAGCTTTATACAATTGGTTATTGGCTTTACTCCTGATAGGCTTATGAAGTATAACTCTAGCCACACTTATGGATGGTAGACCTGCACACACTTTGCAAGGTACTATTCACATGAGGTTAAAAACCCAGATCAGATCGAGCTTAATTTTTAGATGTCAACATCCCTCCTGCACCTGTCTCTGACCCGGTGTATACTGATGCTGTAAAGGTATTCACATTGTGTTTGATAAATAACGCGTTAAGTTGTTTTTTTCATAAAGCAGCAGGGGTGCCAAATCACTGTACTAAACAAGGTGTTATCACACATATTCTCCTCCTAAATCGACCTGCTGGTAACAATTGGGCGGGAAAAGAAACACCTAAAAACAGAGAAAGAGAGAGAGAGAGAGAGAGAGAGAGAGAGGGGAGAAGAGAGAGAGAGAGAGAGAGAGAGAGAGAGAGAGGGGAGAGTGACATAAAGAGAGAGAGACAGAGAGAGAGAGAGAGAGAGAGAGGGGAGAGTGACATAGAGAGAGAGAGAGAGAGAGAGACAGAGAAAGAGAGAGAGAGAGAGAGAAAAGGAGAGAGAGAGAGGGGGGGGGGGGGAGAAAGAGAGAGAGAGAGAGATAATTTCTTCTTTAAAGTATTTTGTAAAAACTATACCTTACGTCATTGTCATCCATCCATAAATTAGGGGAGTTTTTTTGTTGAATATTTTAAAAGACAATATAAATAAATACAGTTGTATGCCAATTTAAAGCAAACACATGATCATAATGTATAATAAGATTATCGTTACTGTGTGCAGCTATATTAAATATATTATGCTTTGTTATTACATTGTAGGGGCCTACTTTGACTGTCATCTACTGCCATCGTGAAATACTTGTTTTACTCTGTTACTTCATATAAAAATTCAAAACCCATAATAAACATTTCTAATTTCATTATATATCATAATACTTTACTATTCACAATAATCTATTTATGTGTCTTAATTAATTAGGTGAGTTTCCGCGACAATGGCAGTAGGCCTACGCAAAACATTATATTGTACTTTGAATAGAGTTTAATGTTTTTATTATACGCTTCATTGATTCATAATAATCAATTTTGGAAAATTGGATGTTATTTTCTACTAAATCCATCAAATGATAACAACGAAATATAGAACCACCTTTTAGGCATCCACTTCTCAGGGCATGAGCAAACCAGGACATATAAAGGCCATCCATACAGCCGCTTTTTCCTCGTACATTATATATGAAGACTATAACTGATTTTCTTATAAAATTGAAGATATTTATGGCGTATATATACATTACTGAATGAACGCCATAAAACATTTACCAACAACAACAACAACAACCTCGTACATTTTTAAAGCTACCGTAATATAGGAAGCAACGCTAACCGGAACGCGCGTTTCCGTTTTACACCCTGCCCTAGGCTTTTCTCCAATAAAATTTTACAAACCGACTGGTATTCGGAGTCTAGTCGTCCACATCTTGCCTCGGCGCTCTGCACACCACCAGAACTCTGAAAACGTCACGTAGCGCTAGCTAACTCTCTATACTAGTTGATCTTCCTAGTCGTATCATTTATTTTTATCCATTAATACGCAATACTCTAAGAGCGTGAGGATGCGTGATCAGCTCGCAAAATTTAGCCCAGCGATAACAAAACAATAATATATCGGGAAAACCGTCTTGAACAAGAAGACCCTCGCATCCCCAATTGAAATTGTACATAAGCTTTGGCTTCGCTATTCTTGACGTCGATATAAACAAACTTAGACTTCGGATACAGCATGTTTCGTGTAATTTCTTGCCGAAAAGCCTAGGGCAGGGTGTAAAACGGAAACGCGCGGGACCGTAGACGCGATCAAAGTAAATAGTGTCTGAGAATCGTGATTTGTGAGAAGTTTGTAAGCATTGATTGAACTTTAACCAAAGTCTTATTCTTTGTAATAAATAGTGGATTGTCAGGGAGCTCATACAAGTAGTATTTCTAAGAAATGAGCATATGAATCTTGTAGACTGCCCACAATGACTCGTCCCACGTACTGTAATCTGTGTTGGGCAAATTAGAATGTAGTAATATCGGCGTAGCTGCAGCTGATGCGCTCGCTCTCGCAGCTCAGCTGTCGCACAAGTTGTGTATATCGAGTATTATTACAAAGTATAAGAGCTCACATCGCATGAGAAGAAGTTATAATTTTGTGGTGTTTTCTTAATGAAAAGGGAACTTAAATTAACAATTTATACACTCGATAATCATGATCCCGCCTAATAAAAAAAGTAAAAAATTGTTATTATTTGCTGGAGTAATAATTGTGGAGTAGATGTCTAGATCTAGGTCTACCAAGGTTGGCAATGTCCCAGAAAATATCTGTATTTCTCGCCCGGCCGGGAAATACTTGTAAGCGTACCATTCAAATTGTATAATGTTACATAACAAACGTAGCAATATGACTACAATCCATCAATTAGAATTTCATGTTTCTTAGTTGTTTATTTTCAATAACTTAATGGGTATCTAAGGACGTGGATCGCTTGTTTGGATATTCTATACATATTCTTAGAAATTATAGCAAGACATGTTGCAACACCTTCTCCTGTTGGCTACCTTTGGACTGTCAATCTCCTGGCATAGAGTATATACGGTTGCAAAACCTATTTTACAGAATTGTTCTTGGTTTGAAATGTTCTAAATCAACATACAATCAAACATGAATTCTGGTTAAAAAAAAGTATAAAAATATTAATGGTCAGGCTCCTTCTGGAAGCATCCAAACTACTGTGTGCTCCATGAATACATGTACACATCAGAGAAAGCCCTTTCCTCCTGTATACAAATTGGGACTTGCCTATTGTCCTACTAGGACTTACATGCAGAATACAGAAGTGCCCCTCAGAGTGATATTGTGTATAATTAGAAATAATATGATGTTAATTCATCGGTTCACATTAGTGATTTCTATTTGTATTGCCCAGTATACAGTAGGGAGGTAGAGGCGACTATAAAATAATGATTTGTTAAGAGTTTTATCTTGTGGAATCTAATAAATATACAAGGTTTAAGGCAGACATTTGGGATCATTGAAAATTGACATACTGAAATGTAGTTAATGTTCAGTTCAAATATATATTTTAAATCTCCAGGGTGTACGACAGCGATTCTAATTCAGTCCAACATTTATTATATAGAGGATGCGTTGGAAGTTAAATTGAGTAGACTAAGAAACATTCAGCATTTCTCACTTTCCATTTCAAAGATGGTTCTTGCCATAGCTTAAATTGTTAAAAAATACTGTTTTCTGTCCAAATTTGCTAGGTGGTATTTAATACTGGCAAACATGAGTGCTATATTACGACCTATTATTATTATTATTATTATCATTATTAAGTGTTTTCTTCCTCAATTTTTGCATAAACTGAATTGCTGTATTGTGCCATCTTTGACCAGGTTGCTTTGATGCAGGCTTAACAACAAGCAATGGGTGTTAAACGACTCCTGTCTTATGTCGAAGGACAATGCCCAGATGCATTTGAACATGTGGATCTTCGTAGACTAGCTGACCAATATTACCGAAGATACAACACCAAGCCTCAGCTTTTGATTGACTGCAATGGTTACATTCGGAATATCTATGGCAGACTTGAGTTTGGCTTAGGAGGACAGTGGCTGCAGTACCTCGAAAACATTAAAGTGTTTGTAAAGTATTTTCAAAATGCCAGATTTGAACTTCTTGTTATGTTTGATGGAGTTGTGGAAAAGAAGAAAATGAAAAGGTGGCTTGATAGGAGGAAAGATGAACGGAAAATAGTATCCAAAATCTTTGATGACATCAAGCGTTCAGGACAGCATCCAGACCACAAGCTGTTCCACATTCCAACAAGTCTTAGCAGTCTTACACGACTGGCTCTGAAGGGCCTCGGCGTGACTGTCTGCAGTTCCTCCATTGAAGTTGACAGAGAACTCTATCTTCATTGCAAAGAGAATCAAAGCTTTGGGATTATCAGTAGGGACACGGACTTCATGATCTATGATGTCCCACAGATGTTCTACATGACCTGCAGCAATGGACATGTGAAAGAAGTGCAGTTGTTTAGGAGAGATATCTTATGTCATCATCTGGGTATTCCTCCACAATTACTTCCTCTTTTTGCTTGTTTACTTGGTTGTGATACAGTGTCATTTCAAATGCTGTCTAATTTTCACCAAAGGGTGACCAGCGGCAAACATGATCCTCTTGTTCCCAGCGTAGCAGGTTATATTAGATCTTTACAGCTTAAAGACCTGTCAAAGATAAGTCTTCACTCAGTAGCCAACGACATAGGGAGAGCTTTCCAAGATGACTACTTGTATGAATGCGTCCAGGACTATGCATGTGAAAATCAAGAAGAGAATGATGTCCCATCCTATAGTGATGCTGCTGATCTAGCTAGAGCTCCTGTTGAATTAACTGGTACATCTAAAATCAACCAGTTTGTGATGGACAAGATCAGGTCCTACCACAGGAATTTGGACATTACTGACTTTGTTCTGCCGGTCATAACCCATCAAGAGTACAGAAGTAACATGACCATGGATGACGACACTGATACTTCCATGCCTTCTTCTGGTCTTGTGTATCGGCCTATCCGCCAACGCTTGTATGGCATTCTTCTGCAGTTACATGTGATAGCAAGGGGAGTTGATCCTCCTTCATGTGGGCCAGTGAATGCAGAGGGTCGTCCAGTGCAGTTTGGAACTGTGGAAGAAATGTGTGCTTATGCTGGAAATGCAATGAATGCCCCAGATGTTGTTCAAGGGATGCCTCTTGATATTGGTAAATACTCATTTGTGCAATATTTGAAAGATAATGAAATGCTGATGATTATACTAATGTATAGGCTGTATGTGGTAACAGATTTTCAGTGTTGTGTTTACAGTCAATGTGATTCCATATAGATTTCTTTTTTTAAAACATGGTGAGCTTAAGTGTGGACTAACTATCCTGTATATTTCAAGTGAATGAATGTCATTATACACTTTGCATTATATGTTTCCATTTCACAAGATCGCATTTATCATCTCTCAACTTAGTGTTTGTTCAAACATGAGAGCCTGCCACTCAAAGACCTTTTGATTTTAATCAATGTATTTCTAGAATATTGTTATTTTGTTATGATATGTAGCCATTGCCTGTCTATCTAAGAGAGACTACAAGGTTTTGAAATTGAAGTTTAATGTAAATAGAAACATGATTGTTTTGTTGTTGTTGTTGTTGGAGGGGGAATTAAGAAGGACTTTCTCTTCCTTCAATGACCAGCAGCTCCCCACCCCGACTGGAAGACCTTTGGGTTGATGATACCACAACTGATGTTCAGAGGCTACGTCTCAAAGTCTTCTTCTCCTGCATGCACTGTACCAAGCTCCTTGAAGATGGGATCTTGGATGCCATCCCAGATCGTCACATCTTGCTCTGCTGCATCCTCCATTTCCTGCTCCTCCATGCCCCCGAGTCTACCCTTAGGTCTTGTGACGTTGATGCCTTTGTGGCGCAAGCCATCTGCTTTCAGAGTCATAGTCCTGCATCATTGGAGCGATTGAAGGTTTGTCAGATTATTGATTGTATGAAGTGTGCAAGTACATGTATGAAGGTCTTGGGGTAGGAGTAAAAGTCTTAATCCATTATCAGGACAGTTGAAAGCCTGTGCCATCACACCCAATTCATCCAACTTCAAAGAGCTTGATATCATGCCTTTTGCCTACATTTGTAAAATACTTCACAATGCACAAAATATATGGCCGATTTAATAATATTTCATTTATTTCATTTCATTTATTGGTTCAACCATTTAAACAAAAATCAAACATTCAAAATAACAAACTATGTTCAAAAGATTTATACAAAACATATTTGACATACAAAGTCTAAAATGGTTATGGAACCCGAAAGAAGCTTGAGCTTGTAAGTGGGGTTCCATAAACTTGTAAAACTGTATAACAATATCAAAGCATTTCAAAATGACCTCTTGAGTGTATAACGTAGGGCTACACAGTACACTAACTTTTTCAGGGGGTCTTAATTTAAATTTGTTGGGTTTGTGTACATGGGGGCCCCTTTTTTATATCAAAGTTTTTTTTTTTTGGGGGGGGGGGGAGGGGTGTTGAGTTGAAAAGTGGTTGGTATGATCTTGAGATTTTGTAGTAGATTTTATTTCTTTACAACCCTGTCTAATTGTGTCATATTGATCTCCCTTAATTGAGTAAGCTGTTGTATTGATACCTTGACCCTTGCACACATACTTCTATTAAGTTTTAATCCTCTTTTTGTCACCCATCACATTACCCTATGGGTCAGAGTGCTTAAAGTGGAAAACATAATTTAAATTCTGTAAGTAACATTCTCTTGGACTGGCCATTTTCCTCTTATTTTCGTTGGGTTTGGAACATCTAATTTTGATGAGTTATAATTGTATTTCATTTATAAGCTGAGAATCTCCTCGTTTAGAATGAGACCAAAGCTAAAAATAATGTCTGGCGACTCTTTATTTGGTTTTGGTGCCGGGTCACATTTACAAATGCTTTTGATGGTAGAATTAATGATACTGTTATGTATTTAGTTTAAAGGAACGTTCTAAAGGAATGAAATATTATAGGAGATCTTTTTTATTTGAAAGATTGTGTATCATTGCTTTGTAAATCAACTGAATACCATCAAATATTGTATTTGTAGGTTCCCAGAGTAAGTCCCAGGGCCGTTCACCTAGCAGCAATCTTCGTGAGAGGTCTAAGTACTGGTTACTATACCAACTCCACTTGCTGCCTGCCATTCCAGATGGAATCTCTAATGCCCTGGTATACCTTTGATGGCAAACTCTTCCACATCAAGTATCTAGCTGCTGAGAATGGTAGCACACTACAACAGCTGAGTGATAATAAGGTAGGCTTTCCCTTTGTTTACAACTGCTTTTATAATCTGATTTCTTTAATTCTGTATGAACATTTAATCGAAAGAAGTTGTCTCTGTTTAAAAAAAAACTTCAGTTGAAGCTAGGTTTTAAAACGAGATAAAAAAAACTCTCTGTGACTGATTTCATTTAAATGCAAAATTTCTTGCAACCAACCAACTCAAGACATGTCCCACATAAAGCATATTTCTCTTTCTAGACTGTATCAAGTATATATTAGGAATACAAACTGTATAATTGGAATATGATTTTGTTTTAAGTTCATTTTTTGAAAACTACTTATAAAAGGATATTTTTCATGATATTCCAGGTTGAAGATATGTATGAAAATTTCCTTAAGATTTTGATAGTTTACAAATAGTTGACATTACCTCTACATTTTTAAAGAACAATTGTTTCCATCTTGTACGTATTATATTTGTACAAAGTAATTTTGATCTGTGAAATTAAGTCAGACACTTTAATCTCATCTTTGCACCTGGAACAGATGTGAATTTATTGCCCCAAAGTAATTAAAATGCTATCATTTAGTTGTTCAAATAGATGTAGAAATATGACTATCAATGCGAGGTGTGATAAAAGTTGTCATACATGTTTGCTCTCCCGGTTTATCAGCTCTGGTTAAGCATTATATGAAACCATCAGATAATCATTTGTGAAATTAATATTTAAAGGAGGTCAAGTGCTATATAATGAGTGAGGGGGGGGGGGAGACAATTTTGTTTCTCTTCAGGTACATCTAGTTTGAATGGTGTCTGTGGTATCTTTGATCCTCCCACAACAGATTCTCTCGGTGCAGATTTTATGTTTTATGAAAAATTCAGGAAATGTTTGTGATATATGATCTCTGAAGAAGTTGAGAGATGACATGGTTGCTATGTACTTGAGCCTTCATACTATGTGGGATAGAAGCAGCTGTACATGCCAAGATGGAGTATGATAAATGATGACACAATATGGACTTTTATTCATGTGGAAAATATAAAGACGAAAGAGATGAGAGGATGTAAGAGGGAGAAGATGAAACGATGAAGACTCAGAATTATGGTCGGAAGCTTTGTTGACACTTCTACGATGATAGCACTTTAGCCAAGTGTATATGGAGCGAGCTATGACAGAGTGTGGTGATTAATGGATGTTCATGTCATGTTGATAGAATATGAAGGATGCTTTCATGAACGGGATGTAAATCAATTTTATGATTCTACTCCAGAGAAAATGATGAATGTTATATTTACTAAGTGCTCCAAAAGCGCAATAAAAGTTGTGAAATGAAAGCTGTGACGTAGAAGAAATTGTTTCTTGCAGACAATATCATGTAAAGAAAATTTGGTTATATCGTCTGTAGTAACCAAACTATGTTACAAGCTCATCTTGTATACTTTGCTTTACTTGGTTAATAAGTTGCTTTGTTCTACCCACATCTCTCCTCTCTCTCTCTCTCTCTCTCTCTCTCTCTCTCCCCCCTCCCCTCTCTTCCTTCACTCTCCCCTCTCTTTGTATGGGATAGTTCTTTGGTAAATTGAAACTGTCAACTGGTCTGACTTTAACTTTCTTGTAAGAGGAAAGAGATATGATCAGGCGACATGAAACTCGTAAAATTGTGTTTGAATTTCAAATATTGAATTTTAAACAAATTGTAATTTAGATCCATTTAATTATATTATATCATTCTGAAATTTGGAATGTATCTTTTTTTTTTACGGGGATATTGAAAATGTTCATGCAAAACATATGTTTACAACATTCTATTGAAAAGTTTTTTTTATAGAAGTTCTGAATTTCTGAAATAAAGATGCCGAATGGCAAGGATTATGTATTTGTTGTCAATATTTTAGATTTAGATATTGAAGAGGCTGTTTATTTGTAATCGATTGTGTATACTGCTAGAAAGAAGGTATGATAAGTGTTATGTTAATGAAGGAAAACAAAAACCTACTTTGATATCATCCAGGAGAAAATGAACAGCACAACATTTAAGTTGTACAATACACATATCTTTAATAGTAAACATAGTCTAATTATTCTAATATCAGGGGTATTATTTCATTGGCTACGCATTTGACAAAATCTTACTTTCTAGAAAGAAATTAAGGAAACATACAGTACATGTAACATGGAAACAAACTTCTACCAGATAAACAGGTACTGCCCTCTCAACTAACCGAGTAGGGTATATCATCCGTTTTAAGTTTCTACCCGAAACAATACAAATGTTAATGAACTGGTAGATGGTAAGCGGTTAGAGCCTCTGGTTGACCTTGGCTTTGGAAGTCCTTGTGTGACCCTGGGAAAACGGGAAGTTTGTTGATGATGGTGGTAATAAAAAGCATGGGAATTCACCCGATTACTTCCTGCCATGACTCAAGTGATACAAATACACAATCAGCGTTGGGAAACAATCATGGGAACCTGCCATCAAACAAACTTGTTTATTTGAATTTGTTATGCATCCATTGTTTGTTGACTTCATTTGAGGCAATGTAATTAGTGGCAAACTTCACTATTAAGTCATAATAGTAAAGTATCCACACTACCTTTTTTTTCTTCAGTGGGGGTCCATATTGAAATTTTAAAGATCGCCATGCATGCCCCCTCCCCTTCCCTATCTCAATTTTGGGGGTCCACAGTTAGAATATGGGGATCTATGTGTAATGGACCTGTGTAAGGGTCAGGCCTTTCAATAAAGATATTAAGTTGGGTTGCATTCATCTTTTGGATATAAGTAATTAGCCAAATTGGATTACTTCAAATCCTAATAAGGAGTTTGGAATTAAACACAAAAACAATAGGAAAACAACTGTAATGTACAGTAGATATGGCACTAGGATCTAACTTTTGAGCTCTCATTTGCGTAGGACTGGTACATGGACTTCACTCTTTTTACAGCTGCTTAATTTGTTATTATTTTTTTTCTTCTTGAAAGGACATTAGTAACAATTCTAACCAAAATTTGATTTTCTGCCATTTGTTGAATTTCATAAATATCTTCTATTCATTGAAATCCAAGTAACGTAGCATTTTAAGAAGCACTTCTGAAGTTTGAAGTAGCAGTGAGTATTCATAAGTATTGTGAAAACAAGATATTAATATGTTTGGGGATAGGGCGTATACACCTTGAAAGGATGAACTTAGTTACATTGTACTGGTTTTCTGTTGCAGGTTTCTGTTAAATTGATATTAAAATAGTGATTGATGCATAAAGTTTCTCAATATTAACACCTCCTAGATCAGTTAAGAGATGTTTAGGTTTTAAGTAATTGTACTGAACTAATTTTACAGAATATTCTATAAAGGTTGCACCAAACGCTTTAAACACATTCAGGATATGTTTTTTTTTTTTAAACATTTGATGATGAATGAATACAAAATTAATGTGACTATTTCACACCCATATGAAAATAAAAACATCTCTAAATGAATTGTTTGAATCAATTTAAAAGAAATTCTAACTGTTTTATTGAATCATAAAGACTTTGATAGCTGTAATCAAGTCAGGTTATCAGTGGAAATGGTAAGATCAACATAAATAAATTGGTCATGGCCACTGGTGTATAAGTGGTGGAACTCACATGACAGAGATGAGAGTAGCTAATGGGAACTTTCTGAAATCACACGGTCTACTATAATCCATCAGACCAGTATTTTGATTGTTGCTAGATAACTTCCTGAGTCAAGAAGATAGGCCAATAATATTTCCTTTCACAGAGGTTCAATGTTTGGAATACAAACATCGGAGGTCTACGTTTCTCATCGTACCACCATATTCATTCTGCATACTCACTTACGTACTGTTGATTCTGTTTTGGCTCTAATTATAATCATAAAGTGTTCGCACGTGTATCTTTTACAAGGATATGGGAAAATATAATGCTGTACTTTATGATCAAAATATAGTCGTTCCATATTTGTTTTTATTAAACAAAAGTTTTTCCATCTTTTTATTAGATTTTCTCCTTTGTCTTGGGGATGCTCAAATCACTTGATATTGAATACCAATATAAAAGAAATATAAGTAGAAAATGTTTTACACAATAAAGAAAGAATTGAATTAATATACTAACATGTATTAGTGAAAGGACCATCTACGGAGCTACAAGTAATTTGAAATCTCACGATCAAAAAAATATTTAAATATATAAATTTAATTGTAGAAATTTTAATTTTGAGAAAGATACTTTCAGCATTTGATTATTATCTGAATATTACATGAAATACCTTTTTGATCACCCATTCAAATTTCAAGTCAACATGCATATTATTCTCAACTTTTTTTTGCTTTGATACAAGTCCATCATAAGTTGCTTTAATGAAGATCCAAACTGCTCATAACCAGTGGTTAATTATGAGATGAAACCATTAACATGATATCCAAGTACCGTTATAAACAATGGCCAAAGATCCCCTTCTATTGTTATTATCACTGTGTGAATGGGGGAAGTGTTTGTTCTAATCTCAGAGTTATTTTTATTTTTCATTCTTTACTGAGGGTATAAAAAGGGAATGTGCTTTCTTTTTACAGCTGATTTTCACTGATATCCGGCCTCGTGGTATTTCTCTTTTTAAAGGAATTTTCTGCCAGGAAGTTCACAGGCTCAAGTGTACTCTCTTAATTTATATTTTAGCAAGCATTGTCTAAACAACATTACCTAATTTTTATCTTTATCTTGAATATGGTATGGATCATGCCACAAAACTAGATATTAAATTCTACTCCAAATTATAATGTATAATACAGGGCAATTCCACGGTAACGGAAGGACACTCAGACAAGATTTTTGAACTTCAGGTTCATACTAAAAGAAATGTTTTATTAGTATGTATTAAACTATGGGGAACAAAATGTGTTTCAGTCAAGTGGAAAGCTTCATCAACATCACAAAGTTTGGATAAACACTAATTAACTGGAAAAACCATGTCCATTTTTATGTCCTTCCGTTACCGAGATAATTAATATGCACATTCTTAAACTACTTAACTATAATGACAATTTTTTTGGGGAGAATTAAAGGCACTTATATAGGTATTATATCTGTACTGTTTCACATCTTATACTAATAAAACAGTTCTTTTAGTATGAACCTGAAGTTCAAAAATCTTGTCTGAGTGTCCTTCCGTTACCGTGGAATTGCCCTACAGGTTCTTTATTTTGTTCTATGATGTACTTACTGTAATTTGTAAATATCTTTAAACAAAAATATTCACTTTATGTGGACAGATGTGCACACAAAGTATTACTTTTCAAACATGATATTTGCATTGCTTACATTATGTTTTTCATTATGTAGTCTTTTATATCTTAATTCACATCTATTTTTTATGTTGACCCTTTGAAAGTGGAAAATAAAATTCAAAGTCTGGTCAAGTTCAAGATGTTTGAAACCATATATGCTTTATGGTTTAATACACCGATGACAAAACAAAAATTAATTTGGGATATATTATCAAGACTTTTACGTATAAAGTAGATACATATTCAATAGAGATGCATACCGTACACACACATATTGAGAAGATAATGAAATTTCTTAACCTTTTCCTTCACAATACTGTATTTCTGTTTCATCCCATTGTTTTTTTTAATTCATGTTCTTTTTTTACTTTTTTAAACAGCCCAGAGCAGTGGAAATGTGCCACAAGATGAGAGATTGGATCGTCAAGGGAACCAGACTTCAGAGTAACTAGCTACAAATATTTTGGCGGAGACCACTTTTTTAAGTGGAATATTTGTTCAAAGCACATGGTTTTTAATGAAAACATAGATCCATTTTGGAAGGATGTTCTTACTGCGTGGTGTCATTACAAGTACTATAATCCAGTTAAGTTTAAGGAAATCATTTCACAACCCTTATGGTTTAACTCTCACATTTTGATTGATGGTAAACCGATTTTTGTTGAAAGGTGGTTTAAAGAAAATATGATATATATAAAAGATATATTAAACCATGATGGGTCCTTTATACCGTTTGATCAAGTGTTACAAAAGTATGGTTCAGATTCATTTCTATCCTATTTTTCAATATTAGCTGCCATTCCTAAGAATTGGAAAGATACTATAAAGCATGGTGACTGTAAACATGATGTTTTATTGTTGTTGAATGCAAGCGATATTCTTTTGAATGACTTCCTAAGACTGAAAAAAGTTTCAAAATTATGTTACCTTCTTTTTTTGAAAAAACATACAATTTCAATATCAGAAACAGATCACCAAAATAAATGGCAATCTGATTTATCAGTTGATTTGAACAGCTCGTTAATATGGAAAAATCGTTTCTCTTTGATTTACAAATCTTCAAATGAAAATAAAATGAGAAATTTCCAATTTAAGTTCATTCACAGGAAAATTGCGACTGAATATTTGCTATGTAAAATGGGGATTCATGAATCTCCTGATTGTAATTTCTGTGAAACCTATCCACAAACCCTATTACATCTCTTTTTAAAGTGTGAGATTGTGTGTAAATTCTGGAACGAAATATTTTCTTGGCTTAAAGATAAACAATTTCGACAAAACATGTTCTCTGAGGAAGAAATTTGCTTTGGGACTTTAATGATTAATAATTTTTATTTAGTAAACACAGTTATACTCCATGCTAAATATTTCATTTTCTCTTGTAAGATACAGAACACGATTCCCAAGTTTCAGCCTTTCCTAGTTTCTGTTAGACATTTAGAAAGAACAGAACGTATTATTGCTTTCAAAAAGAATCGTCTCGAATTCCATGAGAAAAAATGGCAAGTGTTTAGAGACTGAAAAAGTAGGTGTTCATTTTTTTTTTAATCTCTCCTGTACTGAATGTTTGTTTTCTATATTTGCATATTTTATGATTGATTTAATTTTGATGTTTCATGCATGTAATTATTTTCTTGACATGTAAAACTTGTGAATTGTGAAATAAAGATGGAAAAAAAAAAAAAAAAGCTACAAATATTACTTGTAAGTAAATTGTTTTGCTAGAAGGGTATTACTCTTTGTACAACACATGTCTATATAATGTTTCGGTGCTGTTGTTGATGTTGGTTTTTATTTGTTTGTTAGTTAATTTCTTGTAGTTGATGTTTATGTTATATGGTTTAACTAATGCCCTGGCATAACTTGCTTCAAAGCCAATGTCTTAAACTGTTCATATTCTTAACTTCAACCCTAGAGCTAACATTACATTTAACCATAAACATACCATGAACCTAAACTAAAAGCATATTACAACCTGAACTGTAATGCTGTATGTTACACAAAATAGAACCTGAACATAAGCTGGATAAACCAAAGAATGCATATTTCTTTAATTAAGTTGATAAAATATTGGTGCAGCATTTTTTAGGGCTATCTTTGGCAGAAACATTAAGAAATAACTTTTATTGGAAAAAAGAAATAATTGTACTTAAATACCACTTTGCTTTACCCAAGAATGTGAGATAGACAAGGTCGAAGAAGACAATAATTTTTGTAAATTAATGATTCATTATCACTAGAGAAAGAAATGTAAAACCCTTCACTTATCTTATAACTTTCTCTTAACTGGTTATGCCTAAACTAGCCCTACTTGTGTCAATGCAAAGAAGTACATGGAGACGGAAACAATATGTGTTACTTCCACTTCTATCTTTCAACTGTGCCATCTTTACTACTCTGTAAAACATACAAAACTATAACATTCCACCCGTCTTGGAATGATAGTAGCCTGCCTATAGCATTCCTCCTTCGTCTTTATTGGTATCAAGAGAGAGTCCAACCTGCAAGAAACTGGGCCTGTACTCAGTGTACTGTAAGTTAAGGAAGAAACAAAGTCATATTCACATCACAAAATTAATGTCAGCTCTTTCTTTTCTATCATTAGTTTTGAAGAGAATTTCTGGAGACAAAAAATATCTGTTCGTTCTTGTGTTTGAACAGCCTGAGGATTAACTATTAATGTAATGAATTATAGAGGGTAAGCTAAAGCTTTTAAAATTCATTAATTTCACTTAAATTCAAGATTACTAGAGTATTATATAAACAGGAGACTTTTTGAATAATCTGCACTGTGTTTTAACCTAGAGCACTGTATGATGATTTCATGAATATGAATTGGGCAAAATGAGGACGAAGTGGACCGCCAAAAATCTGCCTTCTCTCCAGGGGCCAATAAGCACATAATAAGATTGATGCTCCTGGTATCATACCATGTCTGAAATATTTAAAGGTAGAATCCACGCCCATCAGCCAGTATCATACCATGTTTCAAATATTTAAAGGTAGAATCCAAACATAATAGCCAGTATCATACCATGTCTCAAATATTGAAGGGTAGAATACCAGCAGAACTGCAAGATTCATACTATGTCTCAAATAGTTAAAGTTAGAATCCACACCAAATAGTCAGTAAGCCGGTATCATACCTTGTCTGAAATATTTAAATATTTACTTGTCTGAATAAACTGAACCTGACTAATTTTTTTAATTTAACCCCTTCTGTGCATGAAAACATGTTTGAGGAAAAAAGGATTACAAAAAGAGCCAGACATGAAAAGACCTCCCTCCCCCCCCCCCCCCAACAAAAAAAGAATAATATAAAAACCCACAACAAACAATTCAACCCCAAAACTTTCTTTTAAGAAAAAAAATGTGGGTGTTCAATTGAAATGGGGTGGGTGCACAGTTGCTGATGCTCCCAGCACGATGATGGGTTCTATCTCAGCGAGACACGCATGGTTCTCGTGCCAGCACAACATGGTAGTATGTTGGTTGCTAGGTAACCAAGGATGATGCTGGTGTAGCCATCATACTGTCTTTACTTGACACAGGTCAGGAGCAAAATTGACAAGGAATCACAGAATGTTGGACAGGTGTATTAAAAAATATAGAGAATAAGATGAATATGGAACAGGGACAATGGTCATGTGGTGTAATAGAGAAACTCAGGCAAAAACAAAAAATAATTGATGATGCGTGTATGGTTAGAAGAGATATCTAATTAATGAAAGACAAAAAGGAGAGGGGGAGGGAGGGGAGAGAAAGGAAGGGAGGGAGGAGGGAAGGAGGGAGGAAGGAAGGTAATAATAGAAGGATGGTGAGAGATGAAAAGAAAAGGAGAGTAAGGTCGAAAGTGAGTGTGCTCTTGATTTTGAAGCTGGGATTCTTTGCTAAAATTTTGAGTGTCAACCCCAGCCCATCAAATGAATTTTTTTTTGAAAATTAACATAAACAAACAAATATGTATGATGATGATGTTATATAAATGAGCTGCATTAACTACATTACTGAGATAAACAAATAACAAATTTAATGATACTCGTGAGTGGAATGAGATGAATTTTGGACCAAGTCACTAAAATTGAGATGATGATGATGGTGATGATTATGATGATGATGCTGATGATGGTGATGATTATGGTGATGATGGTGTTGATTATGATGATGATGGTGATGATGGTGATGATTATGATGATGATGGTGATGATTATGGTGATGATGGTGATGATTATGGTGATGATGGTGATGATTATGGTGATGATGGTGATGATTATGGTGATGATGGTGATGATTATGATGATGATGGTGTTGATTATGATGATGATGATGGTGATGATTATGATGATGATGGTGATGATGGTGTTGATTATGATGATGATGAACTTGATTATAGTGATGCCAGTAATGAAAGTAGTTGTGAACAATGAAAGCAGGTTGATACTATATGTTCTGATGAATAGAATGATTTAATTAAGTTTCGTGGCATTGATACTGATTACATCTATAACTCAGCTGCAACAAACTCTTACCAATCACAAACTTGCACTGATGCAGAAAATGGATGACCCTGGCAAATCAGTCATTTCCAAGATATTTTTATTGCCCTTTTTTCAACATCACAAACAAAATTAGATTTTCTATTAATCAATTAGAAACCTGTTGTTCCTCTTTCACTGTCACCCAGTGTCTAATGGCGGGAGGATATTTCATCCTCATGCACCAGAGCACACATCTCTTCTAACTTTATTATCAATACGTAGAAAATCCATCTTTATTGCTTTTTTCCAACATCATTAAGAAATGCAAATTTTTCATTAGTGCATAGAAACCTGTTGTTCATCTTCACTATCCTACTTTTAATGGCGGAAGGATATCACTGTTAGTTGCATGGATGCACACATCTCTTAACATAATCACCCTATTCTTTTTGGTTGGCACGTGGAGGCACGGGCCAGGGGTTGAGGCGTGGAGACACGGGCCAGGGTTTGGGGCAGGCGTGGTCACAACCCCATGCAGTATAAACCCTTTGATTAATATACACAAAGCCTGCTCTAAAAGGTTGTCATTAATACCATCAAAAAGAATCTACAGGTTCATCGGATCACTAATACACAGTGTCCTTTTCACTCATATGCAATGAATTGCTTCAGTGATGATGACAGTTTTTGATTTGTTTGAATTTTTAACTTTCGAAACGGCAGGATTTCAGATATATTATTATCCATGGGACAAGTCAACCAGAAAAACTAGATTCCATGGAATGATTAATTAAGCAATCAAAACTTTATCTCTCTAGCCTGACAAGCTTGTAACGGTAAAATAAAGCTTATACTAAAATCAATTATTTACTGATATTAATATTCAGAATATACTCCAAGTTTGAGCCTCTGACAATTAGTACACTTGTGCATCATGCCTAAATCTATTAAAAAACAACATGTGCACACTTGAAGAAGAAAAAA